AGACGTCACACGATTTGCTGAATTTCTTTGCCGGTGGCTTGTGTTTCCACCCCTTGTTTTCCCTGACGGTATCCATGACTTCTAGGGGGGCACTGCCCTGGAAAGGCTTTGGCCAGGGCTGTGCAAGGCTCCGCTTTATCAATTTGGTTCTGCTTCAATTTGGCCGCTTAAACTATCCCCATTGACTATTTATATTAAATTAAAATGGCTCTTCCTTTTTTTGCATACTTTTTAAAATGATGCAATTTGTTTTCTTTGCCCTGATAAAATTAAGTGTTGGGTTTGTTTTCTCCCCAGGACAAATCATGCTTTATGGTGTTGCCCTTAGTCAATTCTGTTTTGAACTGCAGCTCTGAGAAATGTGGCCTGCACATTTTAAAGGATTGAATCCATCATTTAAAAGTTTTGATTAAAAATATGAGCAATCGTGTCATCTCTTTGATCCATTGTTTTTTAACGTTGAAGAGACCGTTATGATCTTCCAGTCTATGCATGGCACAGGCAGCCTCTGTATGTGGCATGCAGTAGATTGGGAAGGGGACACGCAGCACAGGAGCAGGGCAGGGAACAAAAAGAGCATCAGATCAGGCAGGAGCAAAGGGCAGGATGCGGAATGAGTAGCGAATTGGTCAGCAGAGCAGCAGATCAGGAACAGGCCTTGTAGAGAGTGTAGACCTCATTTGTGGCATGCCTGCCAAAAAGGTTGGCCCCTACTGTTCTAGTCTAACCTCCAGTATAAGACAAGACAAATAACCTCACTTAGTAATCTCAGGATCAGGCTTATAATATCTACATGAATTACAGCGTACCTTGTATAAAGAGATCCAGTCTTATTTGGAACACTCTAGGCCAGGGGTGGGCAAAATGCAGCCCGTGGGCCAGATGTGGCCTCCCAGGCCATTCTATCCGGCCCGCAGGGGCCCTAAAAAATTTAGAAAATTAATATTTATCTGTCCCTGGCTGCCTGTCATGTGGCCCTCGATCGCTTGCCAAAACTTGGTAAGTGCCCCTCCACCTGAAATAATTGCCCACCCCTGCTCTAGGCCCAAGTCTGCAACCTTTACTAGTGCCTTGCTGAGTACAGAGGAGCTACTTGCCTGGGTAAGAGTTGCAGATCATGGGACTGATCCTACAATACATCGTTGCATGTGCTGGGAACACTTCAGAATTATACTTTGATTATGAAACTTGTAGGAGGCTGCTGAGTTTTGTTTTGGGGTGGGCATCTGCCGAATCTAGGTTGCACTGATAGATGCAACTGCTTAGGCTGTAAAAAAAAAAAAAAGGGGGGGGGGGGGACGCTTTTCTGATATGGTCTGGATACAAGACTGCTTTTCGTGTTGCTGTTACTGTCCCCAGTGCTTGTTTTCTCATTGGATTTTTTTTTCTTATGTGAATGGATCATTTGATAGGTTTCAGTTCCCATGATAGGTGGAAAACATAGTTTGTCCTTATTTGGCTTTGTCAGTACTTTTTGAGAAGGCTGGTCTGCTTTTAACCCTTACTAAAGATCATTTTGTAATGGACAAATTGTCAGGAATAACGGACAGTGATATAGTTCCCTTACTATGGGAGGTATGTCCCTGGAAGGGGCAACATTTGTAGCTAAAAGCATTATTTTGGCACAGTTGTAAGGCTGATGTTTTTGAAGGATGATTATTGCAAAGCTAATCCATTAGACATCCATCTCAGACTTAGAGGGGCAGAAATTGCTCGCCTGACCCTGAGCCAAGGAGACATCTCAGATGTGGTAAGGATGCCCCACCCGCAGCTGGAACTGCCCTTTTTAGCACACGGGTATTCTCAGAGTTGCTTTCAAAAGGGCAATCATTTTAGCTGTGAGTTTTGTGAAGCAGAGGTCAAGAGCTGTGTAAATTAATAATGTAGACTCTGTTTTAGGGCTTGTTCCTGTGAGATACTGAGTTAACTACCTTTTTTCAATGCCAGTTGTAGCTATCCAGTGCAACCACAGGAATAGGACCCAGAATCTCCTGCTCCCAAGTGTAAGCTTTGCCACTTGAGCTAAAGGCCCAATCCAAAACTCCATGAGAGTTAATGGAGGTCTTTCCAGTGACCCCAGGTTTAGATCAGGCTTTGCCTCCTGTAGGTAATTATTAGCAGCTATATCCTCATACCTGCTGCCATGGACCACCTGCAAGGGTTCCCTGTAGGTGTACTTGGCGGAAATACATCAGCACCTCTCCAGGTTAGGACTTTTTTTTCCTTTTTAATTTTGAGAACCAGGTCCTGGGGCTGCTGCTGAGGCTCTCTTCTCCCCTAGCTCTACCTTCTGCTCGGAGGGGCAGCTGCATTGTGCCCATGCTGCATGTTAGATGAGCTAGAGCTTTTAGAGGTCCTGTCTCCAGTTCACTCCCTTTGCAGCCTTCTGTGCAGAGCCCTCTGCTGTGGTTTGAAAGAAGCAGCAGGTCCCTGCTTAGCCTCTCACAGAATAAACAAGCTTTCAGCCATAACTGCTGCTTCTCCCCCTCTCCTCCTCCCTCAAGTCCCACAGACAGCCCTGGCTCCAGCATAATGATTGTTAGTGGATTTCACATCCAGGTGCTTTTCCACAGTTATTGTTCCAGTGTTATAAACCTAGCCTTATTTTTATAAACAGTAGCTGATAAAATAAACTTATATACAATGAGAGCTAGTTTCTGTTCTATCTGAAGGGCTTTCCTGTGGGCCCCTCAGAATGAACACAAACTGCTTTGAATCATCCCTTTTTAGAAAGGAGACCATGCTGTGATTCCAGTGCATTCAGGTGCAGTGCAGTGAGATCCTTTACAACGATGCAAGTTCATATCATTAGACATGGATTGGGGTTTGTGAGATTGGGGTTCTATACCTTGCCCTGCTGAAAGACATCACTTTCTCTTCCTGTAATTTAAGTTTCTTCATCTTTAAAGTGAGGATAAGGAACCTGACCTCATTTGTAAAGTGTTTTAAGACCTATTGCTGAAAAGCTATATAGAAAAGCAAATTATTATTGTTATTGTTGTTGTTCTGTTACCCAAACAGTTCAGCCACTCAGCTCAACCAAGGTTGAACTGAGTGCACCTGGCACACAGACCTCTGGTGGGAAAGCTGTAGGCAGATCAAATGCCCTGTCTGGCTAAAATCCAGCACTCGTCACAGTAGAGTTATGATGCTCATCCCTTTTCTATCTGCCTTTTCCCCCACCATACTCTGTGTGGTGGCAACATCCTCTACTGCCAAATGAGACTAGAAATGGGCTTACCTGGCTCTGTCTAAACTGTTTCAAGCATCGGCTCAACAAAGGGTAGGTATAGCTGAGACTTGCTTAGGTTAGATCTGAGTTTGATATGCCTAGATTCAGTGAGATACGCCAACAAGGTTTTCAACAATTGCTACACTGGGACCTTGGTAGGTTCAGCCAGATCCTCAGTTGGACTAACTCCATATAGTACCACTGGCTTCAATGCTAACCTTACTGCATATGAATGGTCCTGTACTTACAGTCAGTAGTTACAGAGCATGGTCCTACTCAAGTCAGCATAGTCTTTAAAGACATTGGTTTAAAAAATAAAAATGCATGGAAATTGAAAGATGCACCAAAAGAACCATACTTAAAAATGTTATCTGTAAATAAATTCAAAGCTAAATTTGCCTCATCTTCATGAACAGCCCCTTGAAATTGAGGGAACCACTAATAAATAGACGTGCTTGTATCAGTAGATCCATTAGCTTTGGTAGGTTTGTTTTAACTGCAGAATTAGCCTGGGCCCTTCAGTCTGTTTTAAGTACAAATCTCTGTACTGTCCATGCACAAAAATGTCTGATTTGGGTTTGGAAATGCTTTAGGTGCAGACATTGCTGGACTTAGTTTAATTCAGCCTGTAATCAACCCAAAAATCACTCAGATGTTGAGGGAAGTTGTAGACTCTTCGTTGGAGGTTTCAGGAAAAGGTGGATAAGCATCTGGCTGGGCCGGTTTACAAACAAAGAATCCTCCTTCTGTGTAGGGGATAGCAAACTCTTGAAGTCTTTTCCAGTCCTCTGATCCTCCAGTCACCATCCATCAGAAGAAATCATAAGAGCAAGTTCTGCAGGTGCTGACAGTTGGGTGGGGAAAAATCCTAGAGCTTCTCAGTGGAAGGAGCGATGGGATAGCTCCTTAGACATACAAGCGCTATAACTGAGGACACAAATATTGGAGAGTAGCTTTTCTCTGGGTGAGCTCTAACTCAGGCTAGGTTACCCCAGGTGCTCAGAACTGAGTGCCTGGCTGTTCATGCAAGGAGAGCAGATTTGGGACTAACCCCACTGGCATGAAAGGAACTGAGTAAGGGTTTGGCCTCATGGCATTAAATCACAGTGTAGCTAAAATGTTCATCTGGGTTTTCCATTACATTCCCAAGTTTGCACATTTTTGTAAAACAAAACAAAACCACCCATTTTTAAAACAAACTGAAAGAAGCCTCACAATAGTAACTGATATCAGCAGCACTAACGTGAATAAAGAGCTATCAAGCCCCCTTAATAAATACTGTGCTTGATTTGATGTAGTAACATTTTGGCTTAATATAATGTGTTTATAGTATCAAACCAAAAACATCATCTCTACTTTCTGAGAACGACAGTGCCATAATCATTGCAGACAAGGAAGTTAGATCTTCAAAATCTAATGATGTTTCATGCTGTTTTTCAATTTTTTACTAAAATTTTGACAAAAATTAAGTCCAAATTAATACAGGTGATTTTTTTTTATAGATTAAATAGAAACACAAAACTGCAATGGCAGATAGGCAGGATTCCCTCAGACATTCCTTCTGTTTCTAAGAACTGTTTTAGGCAAAGAATTCTGTGTCTGTGGTATATACACACGATGATTTGATTTCCTTCAGATGATCTCAAGATCTGATCTAGCAGACATGTACAGGACTGACTGCTCACCGCATTGTGCTTCTTGGAATTCTGTGAATAAAGCTACTTGTGGCATAAGTGTTTGCAGGATCAGAGTTAATATGCACTGAATATTTGGGAGTAACTGATGGTTAATTCTTTGCAGTTCATCAGGTGGCAGAACGTGTGGAGGCACTGGGTCAGTTTGTGATGAAGACCAGGAGGACTCTGAAGGGCCATGGTAACAAAGTCCTCTGCATGGATTGGTGCAAAGACAAAAGAAGAATTGTGAGCTCTTCCCAGGTAAGGAAATGTGTTAGGAGCTTTTCAGTCACTGATGGGTGTTGTGCAGTTCTGACAGCTATAGTAGAGAACAGTAAATGGAAATAAAATGTATGGTTAATCTAAGTCTTTCATAATTAAGGCATTCGCATGGCAACATATTTGTTAAGCACAAACCAGACTAATAAATAAAGAATAGAATTGTGTTGAGCATCATCACTACACTTGATGGAGGTAGTACTCTAAAAACCTCTTGACCCCCTTTTGTACAGAATTTTCAAGGGTCCTTTAGCACATTAGATATGCAATTTTATAGTAAGATTTCATATCATTTACACATACTGGTCTGCAACATCTCATGCTTACCATTTGCATTAGCATATAGAAAAAGAATTAGGATAGGGAGAAATGAAAAGTGCTGATTTTTTTCCCTAGAAAAGTCCTGTGCCACCTGGAACCATGAAATTCCTTGAGTTGTCCTTGCATTTAATCTGACCTTAAAATAAATATAACTCAGCTTGCTACAGCTATTGCAAATGTTGGGGCATTTTGAGGATTAGTTGTGCTGTCTGTTCAAGAGCTATCTCCTATCACAAAACTGATCTGACTGAGACATAATGAGATAAATATCCTTTACTTTTAGGTTGCTGGTTCATAGTCAACCTAGAATGGTAGTGACTGGAATTTGTTACCAGTATATCTGGCAGCTTCTTACATCTGACCTGTGTGTGTTGGCCTATAGCAAATCAGTTGGTGTTCACAGTGTAGTGCCTAATATTTAGAATTAAGTATTTATATTACAAGTTGCTGTCAGAGTTACTGCTAATTGGCTCTGTTCATAGTGATCTCTGCAAGGAGATTAAAGACTGAAAGTTTAATATGCTATTTTAAAGTGGTAGATTATTAGTGTGTACAATTGAAAGCAAAAGAAAGAGGCTTTAATTCACCTTAAAATATGTGTTCTGAAAAAACCCCTCAGTAATTCTGTGAACTGTGAGTCATTCTGGGATTTCTGCTATTTCTTTTACAGGTAATTAAGATCTGTGTTCTGTTTTAAACCACTTAGTTCATGCTCATTTTGTATTTTATTAAACATTTATTTTGTGATAAGTCCAGATACAGCAAATAAACAACTTGCTTCTACCATGCAGAAAAGATGAAAAATATTATGTATATAAGCTAAAGATAATAGGCAAAGACATGGTATGATTATATAGTGCACTACTGGCTATGTGTTCATGATTGCTATTTATAGATATCTTAAATGGGTGGCTAATGGTTCAATTAGAGTTAGAACTAGGAAGAAGAAAGGAGAGGACTAGGAAGGGGAAAATGGATAAACAGAGGGATGTGAGGAAGAGATGCAACTGTGCCTTGGCAGGTAATAATTAGGTCCTAGGCTAGGTAAACTCAGGAGAGAAATAAAGTAAAGGTGACTGTTTCCTGAGAAGATCTGACCTCCATGGTTAGTGTTAAGGAGAGCTGTGTCCATTCCCTTAGCAAGGCTAAGGGAAGATCTTTTAAGGCTGTTTTTCCTGAGCACACTGGAACATGGGGTGTGTTTCTCTGTATAAGCCTTTTAGACACCATTTACTCATCAACATGAGAAGAATGGTGTAATTATCTCGCAATTAGAGAAATACCAAGCTGATTTCAGTGGTGTCACTAATTTGGAGCAAACAGCATTGCAGCCAGCAGCAATTATGTGAAGGTGGTGCAGAAGTTAACAGTAGTGTTTGCACAGATCTCTGTAATGTGGGACTCAAAATACTCTTGGTTTCTCTCTGTCTGCCTTTTAATTTAGGATGGGAAGGTGATTGTGTGGGATTCCTTTACTACCAATAAGGTAAGAAAAGTTCAAATCAAGTCTGTAGTTTCATTGAATCATAGAACATTAGGGTTGGAAGGGACGTCAGGAGGTCATCTAGTCCAATCGCCGGCTCAAAGCAGGACCAGCCCCAACTAGGTCATCCCAGCCAGAGCTTTGTCTATCCAGGTCTTAAAAACCTCCAAGGATTGAGATTCCACCACCTCTCTGGGTACCTGTTCCAGTGTTTTACTACCCTCCTAGTGAGAAATTCTTCCTAATATCTAACCTAAACTTCCCTTGCTGAAACTTGAGACCATTGCTCCTTGTTCTGTCATCTCACCACGAGAACAGTCTAGCTCCAATCTCTTTTGAACCCCCCTTAAGGCAGTTGAAGGCTGCTATTAAATCCCCTCTCAGTCTTTTATTCTCTAGACTAAATAAGCCCAGTTCCCTCAGCTTGTCCTCATAAGTCATGTGCCCCTGAACCACTTTTGTTGCCCTCCACTGCACTCTCTGCAATTTGTCCACATCCTTTTTGTAGTGGTGTGCCCAAAACTGAACACAGTAGTCCAGATGTGGCCTCACCAGTGCAGAATAGAGGGGAATAATTACTTCCCTGGACCTATTGGCAATATGTCTACCAATGTAGTTTCTATATGCAAAGCCAAATTTTGGCTGCATTGCATGGTTTTGTGAGGTGGGACAGGGACACTTCCCACTCTGTCCTCCTCAATGTGCCAGAGCTGTGGTACTCATCAGCAGGGTGCTTAAGTACTTGGACGTGAGGATTTCCAGCATTCTGCTTCCTGACTGGCCTTTGACCATGTTATTTCTCTGTTTATGACCTGAGTGCAGAGCAGAGCTGGAGAAGTGCAGTCTTGGTGCTTGCCCCTGGCTGCTTTAGCCATTTTACCCCCAGATGCCCCAACCTCTAATGGGCCCCACATGCCCCTGCGACTCCTTCTTGGCCCCTTCCACTGCATCTCAGATCTACGTAACCTTAGTGGAGGCTATGGGTAGTAAAAACAAGCATTGTCATGCTGCATTGGGAGTCCAGAATGGGAAGCTTTATTGCATTCTTGCAGGTACAATAAGTCTTACACAGTTGTTTGTGAGCAAATTGCAGTAAAGCATGAATTTGATTAACTCTGCATTTGCAGCTTAGCCTAGGGAAATGTATGACTTGATGTATTTCACTTGAATTTTGTTCTTCTAAAGCCCTTTGATTTGAGGACAATAAAGGGTCCTCTTGAAGTAAAGATCAGCTCTTTGGTGTTTAGTTTAAAGAGAAAAATATATCAGCTCTGTTTCCTATTTTCATTTTAATACAATGAGTACTCCTAAGGGCACTTAAGCAGTTTCAGCCTCATTATCATTGTTTTAACACAAATTAGCAATGTAGTAAAAAAATAAGGAGTTGATGCTTGAGATATAAGGGACATGTTGTATTTCAGGAGCATGCGGTGACAATGCCATGTACATGGGTGATGGCGTGTGCATATGCCCCGTCTGGATGTGCCATTGCTTGTGGGTAAGGATAAACTCTTGCAGCTTTGAACCTGGTGGATCTTTCTATGTAACTGAGTATGTCTGTGAGGTGCAATGTAATTCCATGCAGAGATACCCATAATAGGGCTACCTCAGGTACTTGCAGTATATCCGTATTAGAGCAGCACTTCACCTGAGCTAGTACACCCTGCTTCATACCCAGGCTTATTTGTCCATGTGAAGCACTATACTGCTGCTGGTAGCCGAGCTACCTCAGGTATTGCTGCATAGTGTGTCATGGAAGTGATGCACCATAGTCCCAAGGACATGTAGCTAGTGGAGATGCAACAAGATTTCAAAATGTACCTTTGTCCTTTCAGACACATCTTGGAAACTGTGGGAAGGGGTGTGTTGCTTGATTGTTCTGTTGGGAGTTGGGGAGGAGGGGAACAACAATCCAAAATTAAACTGAAGGTTAATTAAAAAAAATCTGCATATGTGACATTGTCTGTGCATCACTGGAGTTGGTTCACAACTTTACAGATGCTGACAGTCAGATCACTGGGATGTTGTGGACAGCTAAGAAATATCCAGTGAGTCTGATTGTTTCCATACTGGTTCATGCTCACGTAACTCCATTGACTTCAGTGGAGGGACTTCTGATGTGTGTCAGCAGGAGAGGAAAACTGAACCCAAAACAGGGCCTCTTCCAGCACCCCTGGGATGCAATGAGCATCTTTCTGTTGCTTTCACTGTCTGGTGGATTGGGTTTTGCTGGATCAAATGCAGGTTTGATATAGTCCATAATGTATCCTTTGATTACCTCATGACTTTATTCATATGAAGCAGCTATCTTCATGAATTCTTTTCAGTATGTATTCTTAAATTGAAATCCAAGATCAGAGTCCCATTGTGTTATACATTGTAGAAATCAGTCTTCTAGTGACTTAGGATCACTTATTGCCCTTGGCTTGTATTTGTGGCTGTCAAAGGGAATTGGACAACATGTGCACATCTAGGGGGACATAGGACTTTAATGCTGTACTAAGTTTTATGTGCCAACTTAGTACGCAAAGAAACTGTTACTGCTGTTTTCTCATCAGTAGATTGTAGAACTTCAGGTGTTAAATACTTACTCCAAAGAATGCTCTGTAGCACATGCAGTCATTTAGAGCAGTGGTGCTCAACCTCTTGCCTCCCATCCAGATCCAGTTTGCAAAGCTTTGTCATCCAACCCAATGGGCTCCCCATGGGTCTGGAAATTTGGCTGCAGGGGAGCAGTAGCAGTGTTAATTGCTTCCAGAGCCACAGTAATTAACACTGCTATTGCTCCTCCACCACCACTCCCCCACCATCATGTTTCCAGACACTGTGGCCACATCTGGTGCATGGAATAATGCCAAGACAGCAGATCACACCTGCAGACTGACCCTATGCAGGATCCAACCTGCAAACTGGCCCCACGCTACTCATTTGACCTGTGGAGCCAGATTGGTTGAACACCACTCATTTAAAGCATCTGTCTCCAGGCAACTTAGGATTTGTTTGATTTCTTTTTTTTCATTCTGTAAATGTCTTTAACAGTGTCTTTTAAATAGCATCCTTACCTTAAAATTGTGATAAAACAGGTGAGGATTCCCTTGGCGAGGGGAATCCCAGATGCTGTTATACAGTGGAAATCTATACTTGTATGGGTTTTTGACACTGAAGAATTTTTAGGACATTTCACTCTTGTTTGCTTATCATCCCATATTTATTGTTGTTAGTGATTTAAGAGTGTTTTCTGTATCTTTTCTTTGCCATAGTGGCCTGGACAATAAGTGCTCTGTGTATCCACTGACATTTGACAAAAATGAAAATATGGCTGCAAAGAAGAAATCAGTTGCAATGCACACAAACTACCTGTCTGCCTGCAGCTTCACTAACTCAGACATGCAGGTAAATGCATTCACTTGCACGTTACTTGGGTATAATGCACAGTCATGAGCTTCTCTTACCTTTGTCAGCATAAGGAGATGCAGATCACTCCTCCCTGCACCAGCAAGGGTCTGTGTGCCTCAGGGGGGGTGTCCCGTTCTGCACAAGGGAGATACCCCTTCTTTAAGAGGCAGCTTCTGACTCAGCTGAAAACTTCATAGGTGCTCTCACTGGCAGAGGCTATAACAAGGAGGATCTGCTGAACCCATTGATCTAGCTGTCATTGGCAGTAGCACTGCCTGGTCATTTGGAGACTTGTTGGTGGGAGGGAAAGATTACTGCACTGGTATTCTGTGCACTTTCCATTGCAGGGGTCTGTGCCAGCTTGGGCTTTTATGAGGTGAAATAGAAGAGTAACATAGGAAATCTAACTGTGTTTAAACTCCATCACCCTCACAACCTGATTCAGTTAGGACTAGGTTCCAACTGCTTGGAACCATTTTTGTCCCATTTATTCTATATTCCTAGCCTGTTTTGCTATTGTACTTATTGATCTTTCCTCCTTATCTATTATGTAATTGAGGCCCCAGATCAGGGCCCCATTGTCTTGGGTATCATATGGCCACATATCTGGAGTCAGTCAGTCTCCACCCCAGAATGAAAGACAAAGGGGTAGGTGAAAGGAAGTACCATTATCCTCATTTTAGAGATGGGGAACTGAAGGGCATAGAGATTTGTAGGATTTGCCCAAGGGTGTATGGGGAATCTATGGAAAGAATATAGGAGAGGGAAAACAAGAAATACTGTCCCTGTCTTCTTCATGCCAGCTTGCTGCATTAACCACAAAGGATCCTGTATCTGTAATATATAAACATCTAAAATATCCTACATCTACAAGAATGTGAAAACCTAGGAGCAATGAAAGAACCAAGATAATCCTCAACCCCAGTCTGTTTTTAGAATTTTAATTGATATTCTACACATTAGACTGCAGCAAAATAAATGGAGTAGAAAGTATTTCCATTGTGGAAGCTGGATAGAAAGGCATATTTTACTTTCCTTCTCTTAAGATATTTACAGCTCTTACTACGGGAATATCAGGTATGATTGCTTCTATTTCAAGACATGAGATACCCAAGAGTAAGCAGTTATTTGCTATTCTGTGGTTTCAGTAATGAATCTGAGATGCTGATTCAAGCCTATTGCCATGGAAACAGAAGGAAGTCAAGGATCTACCCACAGTGCTCCAGAGTGCTTAATTGTGGTCTTAAAATGCAGGAGGCCAGTATAATTAGGGCAGGGCAAAACATGAAGTCTAACTTGGATGAAATGTTGTTTGTGAAATACAGAACCAGCTTTTTGCTTTTCTGGATATACTTATGTGAACTGATGCTTTTTATTTTTATAGGGTTTAATTATTCTCTGTGCTTAATGAAGAAGTAGCAATACCGGGAAGGAACTCACATTCTCATAAAGAAAATTGTATAGCTATCATGCAGACTGGTATAATATTATTTCTCCTTTGTGCAATATTAATAGTGGGTTTAGGGCCTTTCTGTGTACAGGAATACATGGTCCCTGTCCCAAAGAGCTTACAGTCTTGCTACACAAAGATATTGCCCCGAGTGGTATTTTATAGTCCTGAGGGTAACGGATTAAGGTAGTCTGGTGAAATGAAGAGTGAGATTAGAAAAGCAAAAATAAACCAGCAGTCCAGTCCTCCTTCAGGATGCTGCTGCTTGATAAAGGGTTGTAGAAAAACATGTTTTATCTCCATAGCTTGTGGAATGGCCTTGGGATCAAATTTCTTATAACATAACTAAACCAGGACTATAATGAGGCTACAGAATAAAATATGTGCCATAAACAGCACAGAGGATTTCCCTCCACTACCTTTCGTTTAAGCATTAGGGAACATTAAGGGTTTGTATGTACAGAGGAGCAGTTTTCTTCGTAGTTCACATCAACTTTTGACTTACTCCCAACCACAGGCTAAACCCAATGTAAATTTAAAGGCCTTTTCCTGCCTGTTATCAGCAATTGGTGATTCACTTTGCAGGGAACAGACAAAACCTCACATAACTAGGCCCTCTCTCTGCCTTTACTGTCTGTCTTTTTCTGCATAGCAGCAGGAAAGCCTGGTTGCCACACACCAAGCTAGAAATACCCATAATTAATAACAATAATGATACTTTCACTTGAAGATCCTAAAGTATTTTATCTGCAGAAGCCAAACAGAACCCAATGGCTGAACTGGGGATTGAATTAGAGAGCTCTTGACTTCTGTTTTCTTGCCCCAACCACAGGGCAAAAGGCTTATATCAGTGACAATACATTGTTTCTGATATGTTGTACAATACGACAGAGTAAGTTAGACTCATCAGTAGCCCTCCAAATACCCGTGTATTTCAGACCTGATTTGGTATTACTGGAGTGAGCACATGTTTGTTAAAGGAGGAAGGTCATATGTGCTTTACCGTCAAACCTATTAACATGCTGACTATGCTGAATGCTTCCACAAGGTGGCAGATGAAGACCTTTGAACCAGTGTTTCCAAATAATGTAACAGCAACTAGAATCAAGTTAAATATTTTAGTCCTGTTTTAATTTTGTATAGGAATGTTTGGATTTGAGCTCATAATATTTCCAATCGAACCACAGACTTCATAAAATGTATTGCATTCCAGAGCTCAAAGTGGGTAACTCCTTAAATACTCTACCGGCTGCTCTTTCCTGTGTCATCTTCTTGGATGCTTGTTTGTGTATCAGAATGGGAAGATACAGATATCCTACCAAGTAGAAATCTCAACATCTTGCACTACACCTTATACATTTTCTTCCAGGATCTAACTTCCTGAACCTAAACATTGGGTTATAGCTAATTTAGGACTCTAGTCTGCACCTATGATCTCAAAATATTACCATATCTCTATGCACAATGAACACATGCAGCACAGTCTGTTACGATTCCTGCTATTTTGCCAACCTCAATGTATGGAAAGTGTTACTGGATTTGAGTTTCTACCATAAAAATAATCTGTGTACAAACAGAACATGCAGAAATTCACCCATGTTTCTTCTAAAGCTTGCATATAGCAAGCCACCTCTGCAATTAAGACACAAGCACTGTGGTTTCTCATTCTGTGTACTAAACTAAAATATTAGACAACATCTCAATGTGCAGCATGGTTGCATAACAGCCACTGAGTGCCACAGGCCAATTCTGAGTGCTTGAGAACCGTCAGGATTTGAACATGGTAACAAGCCACAATCACATGTGTTTTCAAGAGACAGTAAGCCAGGGGTGGGCAAAATATGGCCTGCAGGCCGGATCTGGCCCACCAAGGGATTGTATCTGACCTGAAGCAGGACACTTAGCCCTGCCTGGACCAGGCTTGGGGGGCTACCTGAACTGTGGCACATGCAGCTGGTCCCACTGACCCCAGGCACACAGCAGGCCTGGGGCAGCACAATGGCTAGACTCTGCTTCTCTAACAGTGACTCCTTCTGGCTGTTGCTGCCAGTGTCACCACTGTTGCCGGCCCTGGCCCTACTATGTGGACACCCTGGCTGGTCAGCCCCACCCCCACCACTGGGGGCAGCAGTACAGAGTGGGTGAGTTAGGGTCTCCATAGGAACCAACCCTGAACCCCCATGGGCAAGGCATTCTTAGCGAGGCAGGTGGGATGGGGCCCAGGGTGGGTGGGGAGTGGCATCTGGGAGCAGGGCAGGCAGGTGGGGTCAGGGCCAGGATCACAGGGTGGTGATAGTATGGGGCCAAGGCCAGAGCAGAGTCAAAAACTGCTCTCCGCATGACAGATCATGACTGGTCCAAGCTGATGGGGGAGGGCATGGAGCGTATACCCATGACCCAGCCCCTGCTGCTTCCACTCCAACATTGACATGCACAGACAGCCATAGTACAGCATGGCTGCAGAGCAGTGCAGGATGGCCAAATCCCACCCTCCCACAACAGCTCACCATATCTCCCTAAGTGGCCCTCTACCCAAATAATTACCCACCCCTTTAGTAAGCAAATAAGAGAAGCTATTAGCAATGATTGGTCATTACTCATCCATTCCCATGTTAATGATCCATTCAAAGTCCAGGACAATGTAGGGGTGATGGATTTGCCAAACAATTGTCTAAACATGCTGATGCACACAAACAACTCCACATCCATTGGTTCTAGGTCTGGCTGTTTCATACAGCACAAATACTGGTAGGAAGAAGTTAAGCATATCTAAGCCCACCAACTCTCCATTTAACCCTTTTTTCAGATTCCAGCTTTATAAACTTGAACAGGGCAGACATCTGGTGATGAATCTGGTGCCATGTGCTTTCTTGAGTTATAGAAATGTCAGCGGATCATGGACTGAGGTCAGCTTCCCAGACATCTGAGAACAGAATTAAGCCTTTATTAAGTGACTGTACATTTGATGTTGATCAGTCTTAGTATTCTTGAGCTCTTTTCCACTTTGTCATTTTCGTTTCAGGAAAATCATGCTTAGATCCACCTGGATTTTCTGACTGATATTTGCTACACATTAAAAATTTCCAGCTGTGTGTGTGTGAGTTGGTCAAGTACCCAAAGAAACTGGTAACAACTTTTATGTATTTTTTATTGTTGGTCTTTTTCTCCCTTTCTGTAGATCCTGACAGCAAGTGGAGATGGGACTTGTGCCCTTTGGGATGTTGAGAGTGGACAGCTTCTGCAGAGTTTTCATGGGCATGGGGCAGATGTTTTATGTCTGGATCTGGCTCCTTCTGAAACAGGAAATACATTTGTTTCTGGGGTAAGTGAGATATTTTATTTTGTGATGGAAAACCAAGGAATGAGGAAAGGGAAAAGGAAGGATACATAATAAAAAGGGAGATACATGATCTTGTTAAACCTGGTAATAGATAAATTGCTGGCACATTTTCAGGCTGGATCAAATTAACTCTCTTACTATGGGGCCAGACCCAACCCATCACACTGACTGTAGCTCTGCTTAATTTGCAAGTACCACCCTACATGAATTGATGTAGCACATGATCAACAGCATCCACAGAGATGAGAAGAGACAAGTAAAAGTGCATGTGGTGAAGGTGCACCTTTTAGAAGGTGATTGAGGCCTTTCCTTGATTAATTATTACATTCTTACCTCAAATTCTATTACATTGCAACATCCTTTTGCACTTGGATCCTTCCTTCTCTATTCACTCAGTTCCTGCTGGGTGCATGTAAGAGAGTACTCAGTTCGCTTTCTTGGTCAGTATGTATGATGCCTGTATTAGGGGAGTGCGAAGTGGGCTATATTCAATTCAGATACGGCCCAATTCGGGGGACAGTGATTTGATTCGTTGATTTGGATCACTGTCCTGATTCGATTCAGCTGAATACGAAACTGAAGATTCGATTCTGATTCAGAGAATCAATGATTTGTCCATAGACACAGCTTTAAATGTTTTCGTTACATACCTCATGATACCAGGTGAGGCTCGTGAATGCTGAGATGGTGGGGCGGATGGAGCGTCCCACAGGAGCGCAGGGAGGCCCCCTGCCTGCTTGGCAGTAGACCCGGAAATGGACCATGGCATACTTCTGGTCCACTTTCAGGTCCATCACCAAGCATGTAGGGGACCTTCCCCGCACCCCCGCAGCTCAGTGAATGGCCGTGGGAGATGCCAGCTGCTCCTCCAGACCCAGGAGGCACCAGTTGCTGAGCCAGGGGGAGGTGGGAGGTACACCACATGCTCTGCAGCAGACCTGGAAGTGGACCGGAAGTGCTTCTGATCCACTTTCAGGTCTGCCACCAAGCATGCTGGGAACCACCCCCACGCTTCTGTGGGACACTCCATCTCAGTGTTCATGAGCCGCCTGGTACCTTGAGGTATGTAGAAAAAACATATAAAGCAGTGTCCATGTCCGAATCGTCAGTTCTCTCCAAATTGAATCGGAGGGTTCCGATTCAATTTGGAGAGATTAAAGGGTCTCCTGATTTGATTCGGAGATTCGGCTGCCAAATGAGGCCGAATCTCTGCCAAACTGAATCAACAACTGAAGCTTCACGCAGCCCTAGCCTGTATCACTTCTTGCTAAACTCCTTCCCAGAAGCCTTGGGGGCTGTGTTAGCCACTGCACAAGTTAAAGCAGTATTTATTACAAGGTGTAGGGCCAAATCCTCAGTGCTCTCTGCCCCCAGCAGCACCAAGGGCGCAGCAGGCTTGCCTGCTTCTGACCTTGGCCCAGAGGTGACAGGACTATAATGGCAGCACACACTATGTATGCCTCCTGGCAGGCAAGAGAACTACAGGAGGAGGTGGTAAGGCTTCAAAGGCAATCATCGATTCTGTGCTGGAGGAGACCTCCAGGACTGTGGAGGAAGACACAGCGCTAGAGACACAGCACTAGAGAAAAGAGAGGACATGGACACCCAAGAGGGTGGAAGCTGGAGGCTTGTGACTTCTAGCAACGAGCAGAGATCTTCACTCTCATCTGCAGTCATTCATCTAGAGAACAGATATGCAGTCCTAGCAGCAGAGAGGGAGGAAAGGAGCACGTTCCATTGGTGGTGGAAGACAGGCCAGGCCTTACCAAGGTAGGAAGGATCAAGATGACTGTCACCAAGAAGAAGCGACGGCTGGTGGTGGTTGGCAACTCCCTTCTGTGGGGGCAGAGGGAAACATCTGCCAACCTGACATGTTGTCTCGGGAAGTCTGCTGGTTGCCTGGAGCGCAGATCTGAGATGTCATGGAGGGATAACTGAGGTTCATCTGGCCCTCTGACTACTATTCCATGCTGCTCATCCATGTGGGCACCCATGGTACTGCCAGGGGGGACTCTGAATGTATCAAGAGTGACTACAGGGCTCTGTCTACAGTTAACGTGACAGTTAACTCAAGTTGGCTGGCCTGCCAGGGGGTGTAAGCTAATGCTCAGATAGCTCAACTCATCAGCCGCTAACAAGACGACTCAGTAGGATGGATGGAGCCTAACTCCACTGAGTGCTTGTAGTGCCCCAGTGTTTTCCCACAATTCTCCTCTTGTACCCAAAAAGGATAGACATGTTCCCCCCACAGTTCATTGGGAAAGAATCATAGAGCATTTCCCTTTACTGCAGTGCAGAGAATTTTGGGATATACCCCTTACATCATTGTGCCATTCAAGAGTGTGCAGTGCCGGTGTGGATGTGGCTGCTCTTCTTGAGCAAGGTTAACTCAAAGGAAATGGCCCAAGGGTTAAAAAAAACCAAAACAAAAAAAAATTCAAGTTAACCTCTCAATGAAGACTTGGCCAACCCTAATTTGATTCTGATATAGCTACAGCCTCTTAGCATGTATGATTAATTTATACAGGTTTCCCTCGCTTTATGCTGTACATGCGTTCCCGGAAAACAGAACAAAACTCAAATTCGCGTAAAGGGAAACCACTTTACAATATAACAAATAAGGATACGTTCCAAGTCCTAGACTGCACTGACTTCCACACCCATTTCTTCCACTTTTATAAGACAATTGTGGTCCTCACCAACAGCAGACAGTACACACAAGCACAGGGCACTATCATAATGGGGATGGCAACTACAGAAATGAGCTCGTTGTCACAGACAACAAGCAAGGAGCACAGATCCACATGAGACTATATTTTGGTGCTTGTTACTCCCACAGTGTACCACACAAAGTAGCTGACTGCAGGCTTCCACCACACCAATCACATAAGAGCAAACATGCCTTGCATATAATGAATTTTTGGTATAAAAAGGGTCATCGTATAAGAGCGAATGCACACATACAGAAGCCACACAAATTTGGGGAAACCTGTACTGGTATATAGGAGCTTATAGCAGCATAGCTATTTCTGTGAATCTGGTAAATAAGATTACACAGGTAGAGCTGGTCCCACACCTGCTTTGCACCAATTTTAACTGTCTAGCTAAAAATCAAATCTCTAAATAAGAGGGTCAAATTTGTACCTAAATTTTGAGTGGCAAGGCCTTCATATCACTTTTGCTGCTCCCTCAGAACTATGCCAAGCCTGTCTTCAAGACAGCTCAGGCCTGACCCCTCAGCATGCAGTCAGTACTTAACTCCCTCTGAATGCCATGACAATAAATCTCTTGCCATATTTGGAGCACATTGAATAGTTTTTCTTAAAGATCCTTCCTCCACATGGATAAATCACCATACTGTCCTGTCAAGAACTTCATGCTTCAAGTGCCAGACTGAGTATTGTACACCTTCCAGTGGAGTACCAAGGGTCCCCGGTGCCCAGGGGCCAATGCCTCCATTTGCGCATCCCCCCGGGATAATCCAAGCAGTGTGCAAGGCTGAGGCAAATCAGCCTGTGCAGGGCCCCGCCTCCTGCCCCAGGGCACATCCATGGGGGAATTACCAGCACAGCACCCCAGCTGCGGGTAGAATTTCCTGCCGGAACAGCAGAACAAGTCCACAACCTGCCAAGTAGGTGGGTGGGCCACGCAGCAAATGTGGGAGGCTCTCTGGCCAATACCTGGGGGACATGGCCCCCTACCACCCTCTGTCAGTATGCCACTGCGCACCTCAAAGTCCCATAGGAGTGATGAGTATCCAAAGAATGCAGCACTGGGCACAGGATAATGGGTGGGCTTTGGAAACTAATGCACTGACTCACCTTCCAATCTATTTCCATATCTTGGAAGAAGAGACGGTAGTTGGTACTTCAGTAAAAGAAGGAATGTTTCTTTTTTTAAATAATGATATCATAAGTAAAAAATATACATATTTTAATTGCACAAGAGATTTGAGAGAGGGAGCTGGATCACGAGGAGACTTTATTTTAGCCAGCAATTATGTCTCCTTTAAAAATAAATAATGCATATGCAACAGTCTGCTGAGGAGGAATGCACTAGCTAAGCATGAATACTAGCAGGCTTAGCCTGTAACGTGTTCACCATGTTCCTCTGGTGGCTGCAGGGACCTGAAGAGAAAGGCAAGTGCCTCCCTTGGCTAGCATGTAGACTAGTTACTGCCCCCTTTTTTATCATGTCCCAATTTTCATAGTAATCGCTGCCTTCCCCACCCCCTAAAAGAAAATCTGGGGGGCAGGTTACTTGACACTGATATTAAACATTTTCATTTTCATTATTAATATTAAAAAGTACTTGGAGACCCCCAACTTGGATTAAACCTGATTATACTAGGAACTGCATAGAAATTGTGTATATGCACACAAATATACATTTATGTATATTTGTGTGCATATATGCATGCATGTGCACACATGCATGCACACACACACAAAGAGATGGTCCCTGCTCTGAAGTGCTTGGAATCTAAATAATGAGAGACAAAAACTGGGATAGAGAGATGTGGGGTGACAGGTCACAGCAGGTTAGTGGCAGGAATGAGATTCCCAGTCCAGTACTTTCCCATGAGATGGTTGTGGGCCTGATCCTGTGAAGTGCTGGGTACTCTTAGGAGGAATTAGGTATTTTCAGTGGAAGTTGTGAAGGTATGTTGTATCTCCTTGCAATATTCAACCAAGTTAGAAAAATAGCTTCTTCCCACAAAACCACCCTCAAATTTCGGCCTCCTAAAGCATCTTAAAGACTTAAAGGACAAAGAAATGTGACAATAAAAATAAAACATTAAATACATTTTCAAAGGATGATCTCAAAGCAAGTTGAAAAATTCTTCATGCTCTCTTTCTGTCACTGCTATGTTTAATACCAAACTGCAGTTAATCAAATAAGAGCCGTAAAGAGGGTTAAACCTGGAAAAGTGGAGTTGATGCAATTGTTTCATTTTGTAGCTCAGTGTATTTACAGTGCACTATAAAACTTTAAATGGCAAATACTAATTTTTTATATTGAACATGTTAAGTGATGACTGAGTCAGACAACTTTAGTGACTCACTGCATATCACAGAATGTGACTATGGAAACGGCATTAGGATAGCAGAGCACCACAAAGTGTTTTTTAGTGTTTGATGAAATGGTGGCAGCCTGCATTGACACCCCTAGGCTGGGTCTACAAAATAATTTACTTTCACCTCCTGCTATTTTACTGCATCTGCCCTGTTGGCAGCACCAAAATGAGTACTGGTCTACAGTGGCCACTGAGGATTTAATCACTGTGTTGTGCAGTCCTCTCAGTTCTGGTTGCCTTGGTTTTAGGGCCTATGTTATGAAAATATTTGTGGCTTGGTTTTTCATGATGGGGAGTACCTGCAGCTCCCTCTGACACTGAATGGAGCTGTGAGAACTCACAAATCAGAATGTTAGACCCCAGAGGTTTCTAACACTTGGCACCCAAAATCAAAAGCCCCTTTTGAGAATGTGAACCCACGTGTCTTGCAAAAGGCTGCTCGGCACTAAAGCCAAGCTTAGCACTTGATAGAAATCTGTCTCCCTGCACGATGCTCAACCCATCAGTGCTGCCCCTGTAAGAGAAGGGAAGCCCACTCTGCAGTGCAGTGTAATGAGTAAGCCTGAAGCCCTTTCTGTTTATTTAACTGGTGTTCACAATAAGAGGATGTTTCCTGTGGGGAAAAAAGGAAGGACATAAATGGGACAAAGGCTGAAAAAAGATATGCAAAGCAATTTTAATTAAAGCTTAGTTCTGTTGCCTGTAATGGTCTGACAGCTCCTTTTATAGACACTCAAGGAGAATGTTATATAGATTTGGTTACATTTTTTAGTCCAGAAAACATCTGCGAGGTTCTTCTGTATAATTTCACTTCATTTGTATCTGTCAGATACCTAAGGAGAAAATCTCAAAGGGACAGTGGCCCAGCTCCTGTAGGAGTATTTAATACTATCATTGAATTGTGGTGTGAACCAAAGTACCGGCATCTCCCATTACTCAAACACACGTGCAAAACAAACAGTGAGTGGTGTTGGCTGTAAGGTTTGCCTCTGCAATTTTTTTGTTTTCTGAATATAATGCTCTCAAAATCTGGAGCTGCTTTGCTAGAGTTTATCCTACTAGGAGCTGTGATGTTCCAAGTGCCAAGAGGTAGTTGGGACTCAGTGGGTGCTTTGGCCACATGCAGGGGGAAATTTTAGTGCAAGACCTAGTAGTGATATGTGTATAATCAAAATGATTTTTTTGTTTTTAGGGGTGTGACAAGAAAGCAATGGTTTGGGACATGCGATCTGGTCAGTGTATCCAGTCCTTTGAAACCCATGAATCTGACATCAACAGTGTCAGGTCAGTGTATTCCTGGCAAAGTACATTGACATTGTTTTCATGTGAAGCTCTATATTAATTTAATTTTTAAATTCAACCTTATCTGAATACCATAACATACTATATTTTTTCTCCACACAGGTACTACCCAAGTGGAGATGCTTTTGCCTCTGGTTCAGATGATGCCACAGTACGTTCATTCAGCAAATTCATTCACAATTGTTATTTCTCAAGTCAGAAATCTTAAGAGTAAGGAGCCAAATTCACAGGGGCTAAACTGGGCCCAAGACATCATACTATTGTATGACTATAGGGGAATTCTTTCAGAAAGAAATAAAAGCAGTGCATTAAAAAAAAAAATACATGCAGAGGCGAGTTCCCACCTTGAAACAGGCATGCCTGTTGACAAAAATGGGAGTTGCACAAACAGCCAAGAGAAAACAAACCCTGCAATTTTACTTGTGGCTTCAGAAAAGGTGTGTATGAAATTACAGCTTGACATCACACCATTAAAATATATTCTGGACTGCATATTCTCCACACTGAAGCTGTTGGGCTCAGTACAAGAAACAGCAGATTAAAATCTTTCTTATAGGAGAAAACTAGGTGATCTCGTAGTCCTGCTTTGAGCAGGGGGTTGGACTAGATGACTTCCTGAAGTCCCTTCCAACCCTAATTTTCTATGATTCTATGGATATCTAGGCTTAAAAATCTCATTCCTGAGCAAGCTGTTAGGGGAGAACATGGCATGTCTTAGTCAGCATGCTACAGGAAAATATAATTATCCAGTAAGACCCCAGTGCTGCAGTCAATGCTCTGGGTATGGGTGGCTGGCAGCCATGGGGTTGACATCGCACAACTGAAC